TTTTTTTTTTTTTTTGGGTACTTAGAATATGTAAATTTTGACTTCGTGGTATTGGCGTAACTTCTGTTAATCTATTTTCAAAATTCCGTTAAATAATGTCTGAAAACACAATGGTAAATATATTATTATTTTAAGATGACATGCTGGTTTGGGTTTGGTAGAACTCAAATGATACAAGACAACTTGAAAATATTCGAGTCATTGGTTTGCTTTTGAATATTGATACATGTGATGTGATAAGCCTAACGTCACGTCCCAGGTCACACGGGTGGGTCATAATATATTCAAACTACATACACAAGAACACTGATTGAATTCCACTAGCAACTATAAAGGTTGTTAAAATTAATGGTGCATCAAGTTTGGTTAACCGAGTCGAACCAGCCAAAATCGAGAATTCAATTTGGACCGCGAAATCGAAATTGAATATTTAGTTCGGTTTTCGATTTACATGTTTTAAACATTTCAATTTTCGGTTCGGTTCGAATAATAGTGTTAACCGAACCCAACCGAACCGAACCGAACCGAACCGAAAACTGATTTATACACCTATATATATACATGTTTTTTATTTATAAATATAAGTTATAAAAGTATTAATTTGATTCAAGTATTGATGATTTTCAAGCTTCAATGACCCCTATAATGGCTCAAACATTAATTTGCACACAAGATTGGTTTCGTCGTAGTCTAAGTCACTGTTCGAGTCCGTAATCTTCCTTTGAGGAAAATTTAGAATATATTGAGAAGATTAAACAAGGTGATAAAAAATCAATAGTTTTTGTTTTGATAGATTATCAATTTTTTTGTTCGGTTAAAGATTAATTATTTATTGCGATTAACCGAAAAACGAACCGAACCGACCGTTGGATTTTCGGTTAAAAAACGAACTGAACAGTAAATTTTGATTCTGTTTTCGGATATGATAATGGACAAACCAAATTTTCGGTTAACGAAAATTGTGTTCGTTCTGCTCGGTTTCGACAGAATGAGCAGCCATAATTTAAATGGTCCATTAAGGTAGTCTCACTGTCCGAGTTCTCTACAAAATTGATCGGAAATATTTTATTGCCTTTTTTCTCTACTTTTTTATGCTATCTTTCACATAAATTAAGAAGTTCAGTAAAAGTACCACGCTTTACGTGTATCAATTTACTATTGGCCTGTAACTGTTGTTTTTTTTTACTAACTGTTAGACGGTTTGTAGATTTGCAGACCGAAATGTGCTCGATCTCTCTCAGTTATAACTGACATTTGATTTTCAAATTGGTTCATCTGACTGTTTGATTTTTTTTTTTTTTTTTTTTTTTTTTTTTTTTTTTTTTTTTTTTTTTTTTGTTTTGTTTTTTTTTCTATGGTCAAAAATGGAATTTTTCGGTTTAGCTATGCAACCATTGATCTACACATAAACACACACACCCACATGGGTGTGTGTGAAATTAATGGTATAAAAGCCCACGTAGACAGTGCCCACATGGGCAGCACCGAATTTTCCGCATCATCTCATTAATTACTATCTTGAATTTCTTGGTTTATGCTATCACGGTTTTGCTATGAAACCAACCGTTGGCTTCATAATGGAGTCAACATTCTATATACAACAAATAAATCTAACATATTAATAAAATTATATTAGTGTTATTTAAGTAATCAGAGAATATAGTTGGTTTACTTGTTGTAAATAGAATGTTGGTTCCACTATAGAACCAACTGTTGGCTCTACAATTTAACTTAAATTGTAACATAAATTAAGCATAAAATTAAAATTAACCCAGTTATAGGTTTAGCAAAATGTCTCAAAATAATCAGATCTGATGGGGATCATTACTAAATAAATACAGGACTGAAATTGAAGTATCAAAACGTCATGTCAACTGAAATTATGGAATTGAAGTACAATGTTTTTCTTGTGCCATGATATGCATTTTTTTTTTTATACAGGTACCTTCCAGTTTCCAGATCCACAGAAAACCGACTAATCCAGAATCGAGTCGGGTAATGATATGCATTTTTAGTAAAGGTTACTGTGAATAGGGGCCTAACGAGACAAAATTTACAAAATTTGTCGGCCTTACAATTGAAAACATTTAATAATTTGTTTCCCTGTGAATCCGGAAACCAGAAGGTCCCTGTACCAAAAAAAAAATAATAATATTAGTTGATCGATATATAAAGATTAATTTTGTATCAATTAAAAAAACACTCATGTTTATCATGTTAACACTATTTTCTTCACATATAAATAATTTATTTGTTCATAACTTATAAATATCAAGTAATTATATTATTATTTTATGTGCTTCTCTTTTTTCATCTATATGATCAAAGTTCACAATCTAATCCAATTTGCACATTTAAAC